GAGAGAGAGAGAGAGAGAGAGAGAGAGATTGTGGTCATGACATACACTCTCCGGTCATAAAATCGGCAAAATTCCAGACGTGTTCGCCGGCGAAGAAGCCTTTGGCCTTCAATGTGTCAAACGCTTTAAAAAACTGGCCAAATATTTCCGACTGATAGTCTTCTGACCAGACAAACGGCGGGTCCTATTGATCGTAACATCAGATTATGGTTTAAAACATAAAACATTATGTAATTTGTTTGTGACAATTGTGTGATACCGTGTGCAGACCGGCCACAGTGTCCGAGCCGTACTCGGAGACCATAATGGGTTTCTTATGGGTGTCCCACCATTTGGACAGATCGTTGACCAGTTGTTTCTCGATGGCCTGCGGGTAACCGGTGTCCTGATACCAACCCCAGTACCGGTTGATCATCAGTACGTCTAGAATAGCCGACACCAGATCCTCGCGATAGCCGCCGGCGATGGCGGCGGTGATGGGCCGGGAGGTGTCCAGCGCTTTGATATGCTTATGAATCTCTGCCCAATAGGGAGGCGACTTGACTTTGTCGGTTCCCGGCTCGTTGGCCACCGACCACATTACCACCGATGCGTGGTTTTTATCGCGAGCAATCATTTCGGTGATGGTCTGCTTGTGTTGGGCCAATAGAGGGGCTGACCAACCGCCCAGGCCTACCGCCGGGCACTCGTCGACTACCATAATGCCCGCTTCGTCGGCCATATCCATCAGCTCTTCCGAGTAGGGGTAGTGTGAAGTGCGGAATGAGTTGGCGCCGATCCATTTGATCAGGTTAAAGTCTTTGGCCAGTATGGGCAGGTCCAGACCCTTGCCTCTGATCTAGATGGTTATTTGTTAAGCATTATAATTACTTTATTTATTTACATTTTGTAAATGTATAACCAATTCATTGTAATTTTGCTAAGATAAAAGTTATCTAGTTAGCATTTTTATTTATAATTACTAATTACATAATTAGTATACTTAGGATTAAATAGGATTTTAAATGTGTGTATAATCTATACATACGTTCGCGTCTTCGTGTTTACCAAAACCGGTCAGATATACGGCCTTTCCGTTGATAAGTAACTGCTTATCAGTGGCCTTAACGGTACGGATACCGACCCTTTCGTAGTAGACGTCCGATGTCTTACCGCTGGCCACGAGAGACACCCGTAATGTATAAAGATATCCGGGGTTTGGGTTCGTGGTGTAGGGCCACCACAACTTGGCGTTTGGTATTGTTATAGAACCCGAATAACCTTTAGTTTCGGCCACTTTTTTGCCGCTTTTGTCCATCACTTCCACAACACATTCAGCCGCCGATGTCTTCTCGCTGTGACTGATCTCATAGTTTATGACACCAGTCGTGGTGTCCTTGATATCAGTGGTGACAGCGATGTCGTCGATGTGGTCGACGGGGAGGGCGTATAGCGAGACGTGTCGGTGAATACCCGCGTAATTGAAAAAATCAAAGTTAGTTGTGGTCTCGTAGAAGCCTTTTGGGTATTTTGTGAGATCTGTCTTATATCTGACCCCTCCCTGAGGTATAGTAGTGTCGGACAGTATGTTATTCAGGGCAACAGTGATCCGGTTATTGGCCCCGTATTTCAAATGTTTGGTTACGTACGCCTGAAAGGGTAAGTGTCCGCCGATATGTCGCACGACTTCCACTCCGTTCACGTATACTATGGACTCGTAGTGAGCGCTACCGAACCGTAGGGTTAGTGAGCGGTGTTCCCAACGGGAGGGCACGAAAAAGTCCCGGTCATACCAGACCCAACCCGCGTAGTCTCGGATGAATCGGTTTTGGGTGATATCGTTGAAACTCGACGGCACCGGCATTGGTATCACTTCACCCGTCTGTTAGTATTATCATGTTTTTTGTTAATAGTATTAAATATAATTTTAATTAATATTATAATTTAATCAGATTGTAATTCTCTCTCTCTCTCTCTCTCTCTCTCTCTACTTTTGGCACTCACTCTGACAACAATCCCAGACATCTCAACACTAAATACAAAATCTGTAGTTATTATAAATAGCTTTTTTGCATTTCACGTATGGATAATAACACTTTCATTTTCTACACAAAACACAACTCATTTATAAGAAAATATTATATTATTTGTATACCGTTGACATTTTCACTGATCTAGTTATTTTATAATAGTTAATAAATTATTTGTAAAATACTAAACAATATTCTATAGACATCTTTATATACAGTGTTACGGAATATTCTTTATAATTAATTATTGTGTGACCACAAGTCATGTTCAAAGAAACAAAAGTACAAAGGAANACAATATTCTATAGACATCTTTATATACAGTGTTACGGAATATTCTTTATAATTAATTATTGTGTGACCACAAGTCATGTTCAAAGAAACAAAAGTACAAAGGAATGTCTGAGTCGAAGAGATGTTTCCAGGGCGTGAAGATCACCTTGATCATTATATACTCGTTGCTACTAATATTTTGTATACTCGGCATTATATTAAGTGTGATTCAACTGATGATTGTAAACTTGAAGACTAACAACAATTATACCATCACTATATCGACCAGCGAAGGAACTTTTACAAACAAAGACAACCCTGATAAAATAAGTGAGATTATAAAAATTTATAAATTCTAGAATTTACATTAATTGTTTAAATGTTTTTATTAAAATAACCTCCCGTTTGAAATATAGAAAAGTGGCTTGTATATTTTATCATATTTCTCATCGTGGCCTTATTGGTTGAAGTGATCTTGCTAATTGGGGTTATCACAGAGAATAGGATAATCGTGATTATTTCACTGATTCTATGCATTCTCGGTGTTATAATTAATTTGTTTTATAACGGGTTCGATGTGTTTTATAGCCGGCGTTTTGGCAGTTTGGGCATGGCAATTTTGACCGCGTTTTACGCTTACATGATTGTCAAAAATGATGGTCAAATGGTCTAACTATGCCCCAGGTCAACATTCTTTTGAACTACAATTGATAGTGAAAATTTAACCACAAATAATATAATAGTTATATTTATATAAATGTATTTTATGTAATGCATAAGTATTACAATTACTGTAAATTATTTACTATGTAAAATAATGTAATGAATCTGATTTTGTATATGTTAATTTTATTCATGTTATACAATGCTAAAACATTAATACAATATAATTTACTTATTCATGGTTCAACATTAAAATAAAACTGTGCCATTTTAATAAAATAAAGTTTAAAATTTATTTATTACCATAATTATCTTTTGAAAAAAGTATAATTTTCTAAATAGTTTTATTTGGTAAGACAAATACTTATTTATTAGAAATGTCAAAATGGAATTATAACAATAGTAGAAGCATTTAAAAATTTACCTTGATACAACTAATAAACAAGGTACATGGTAACTTTCAAGTTAAAGTAATATTTAGTTGGTGCCAAACTTATGCATCACTTAAATGCTATACAAATGTTATATAATTTTAAAATAATATTATATATTCTGCATTCTATCCCATGAATCAAAACTCTATTTATATAACTTTTATTATTGTTGTTTTTAAAATACATAACACATGGGTTTAAATGTAAGGCATTTATTATCTTGTGTTACGTCTAATGCTACCAAAGATCTAAACTCTCTCTCTCTCTCTCTCTCTCTCTCTCTCTCTCTCTCTCTCTCTCTCTCTCTCTTTCTTTCTCTCTCTCTCTCTCTCATCGTTTGGCACTCACTCTTACACCAATCCCAGANCTCTCTCTCTCTCTCTCTCTTTCTTTCTCTCTCTCTCTCTCTCATCGTTTGGCACTCACTCTTACACCAATCCCAGACATCCCACCACTAAATACATGATCTTTAGTTTTATTTTAAATTATTTGCATTTAACGTACGCTCACAACACTTTCATAACTAAATAGTAATACTGTATAACTTTGATATTTATATTAATCTAATTGTCGTAAAATAAACTATTATTAATATTTAATAAGTTATCAACAAACTATTAAACAATATTCTATATAAACATATATAAGGTGTTACAGAATATTATTTATAATAAATTAACCAGTGTAAATTATTGTAAAGCAGTGTAATATAGTTGTGACCATAAGTCATATCCAAAGGAGATCTTCAGCAGTGTCTTGAGTCGGAGAGCTGTTTCCGGGGCGTAAAAATCACCTTGATCATTATACACTCGTTGCTACTAATTATCCTAATACTCTTTGCTGTAATATCGTTGATTGGGCTGACGATTGCATTCTCACCAAATAATAAAAATTTAACCATCACTACATCAAACGGCAAAGAAACTTTCACAAATAAAGACAACCCTGATGAAATAAGTGAGATTTAATTAATTGTTATAAATTAATTTTATATTTTGTTCATGACACTTATGAAATACTACTTACCTTTCAAATATAGGAAAGGTTGCTGTATACTTTGCCATATTTTCTACCGTGGCCGTATTGTTTGAAGTAATCTTGCTAATTGGTATTATTAAGGAGTATAAGATCATCGTGATTATTTATTTGGTTTTATGCATTATTGGTGTTGTAATTAACATGTTTTATAACGTGGCCGCCGGGCTGAGCAATTTGGGTATAGTTGCTGTGACCGCATTTTACGCTTACATGATTGCAAAACGAGATAGACAAATGTACTAATAACGCCCAAGATCATTATTGTTAAAGTTGTCGTATACATATAAACTTTACTTGTTGTTAATTATTATGTTAATGTTTAACATATTTTATTTATTCCACTATCATTTTAAGTAATTTAAATATAATATTTTACTTGATAATAATTCATGACTGTATGAATGTGTGCTTAGTAAATATTTAAATCATGTATACTTTTAAATTATTTTATCAAAAAATAGTTTATTATACTTACTATAATTAATATAAGTTAAATTATTTATTCTTATAATGCATGAAACAAATACTGTTAATCTGAAATTTTGTACATGTTACTTTATTTTCATTTAAAATGAGAAATACAATTTACTTATTGACGTATACCAACATTTACCAACATGATTTAACACTATTTAATTTTGAATAAACAAAACGTTAATTTAATAAAATACTTTTTAACCATAATTCATATATTAAGATTGGCCGACCCCTCCCCCTTAGTGCAAATGTAATTTGTGAACTTCCCCTTAAAATATTGATTGTTGTGTTGATTGTATTGAAAGCAATATAACTGTATTTAAAACAATAGTGAACACAATTATCACAAACACAATGAGATTCAACACATGTTCACCACTTTTTATCTTCATATTAAGTATATATGCATTACATAAATGCAACGCTCAGTGGAAAAAGTTTAAGGACACAGTGTTGGGCACCTGATGTCTCATCAAAATCACACCCAAACTCACCACCGATTGTCTTCAGGCCTATGACAACGAACTCAACGCCAGACCCAAACAGGACAGGGATCAGAAGGTATATCAGACAATACCATCGCTCATGGTATGATAAGCATAATAACCAAGATTACTGTGATTACCATTACCATCAGGTGCTGTGCTGTGCGTATCTGTCGCTCGAGTCCTGTGTAGTGAAGATCGCGGAGAAAGAGTGCACTGAAGAGGGAGAAGAAGTGGCCAAAAGTTTCCTTAAAACAATCAATCGTAGCATTACTTCAGACGATTGTATTGATTACGGATTCATGGCGTGTATCTCACGGACTCTTGTGGCCATCGGTGGTGCGCTCGCACTCGTCATACTTGTGCTCCTGTCGTCCGTTTGTTGGGTATTGGTGTGGAGAAAGCGAAAGCAGCAATCAAATGTTTGTTGCTAAATATTTAATTAAGAACGTATATTATAATAATTATACTTAAATATTGTTATGGGCATTAATAACTACCGTTTATAATAACTACAGTAAAAATAAAAATGTTTAATATTTTTTTCATGTAAAATATTATGTGTTTTATCTCAAGAGAGATATCCAAAGAGGTTATATTTTAAACAAATTGTTATGATAATTCAAAAATGCCTTGGTTACAATTGTAATGGGTACAAAATAAGTGATACTGAACATGTGTAATTATCTGTACATTTATTTATTTCAATGATTAATATTATCATTGGATTGAGTGATGGATAGGAAGACCTGTTATAATGAAGAGTTTGACACCAAATAGTCCTCTAAATTGAGTTCACATTTCAATGTTTGCAATGAATTGAAAATTTGTGATAACTTTTTTAAGGATACTTACTTACTATAATAATGTTTTGTAATGGTTATTTTATATTTATTTAAAATACATAATAAACTAGAGTTGCCTCTCGAGCCGCAGATGAGGAGTTATTGCCTAGCTTGTGATCTCAACGGTTTTTCTAGGAAAAATGCACTCAAAAAAATTTTTTGCAATTAAACAAAAAACAAATTAAAAACAACATATTTTAATATAAATATTTGAACAAATTTATTCTCAATTGCAATTTTAAAACAAGACAATTTTAATT